GTTTGGGGTGGACTCCAGACTGCTTTATCCATTTTAGAAGCTTTTCTCTTCAATGGCCCCTGCAACATTTTCATTCACAAGTTGGAGGTTTAACTGGGTGTGGTCTTGCCCTGGAGGCACTCTCTCCATTGTTTAAGTTTGAATCTCTAGGCCCCTCCTTAATCACTTTAATCTCCTTATCAATGGGATCCTCTCCATCACAAGCCAGGGCTCCAACATTTATCTTCCTAGTGCTCTTTTTAAATCCATCCTAAACATTCTACTGCCCCATTTGCTCTTTTTCACTGTAAATCTACATAATATTCACCATTAATAGCCACGCCAACATTTCTACATTAGACTGTCTTGAAATTTCTTCCACCAGACAAATTAGTACATTGCTCTTCAACTTAGCCCCAGGCAATCATTTAGGTCGAGGGCAGGCTCCAGCCAGACTCTTTGCCAAAATAACCCAAGTGCTGCTTAAGTCCTTATTTCCCTCTGGAACTACATTGTTCTCAGCACCACTTTCCTCCAAGCCCCTACGAGAATGACCTGTTAAGCTCTGCATACAGCAATCAAGGATTTTCGTAGGCCAAACTTCCAAAGCGTTCCACAGTGTTCCAATACCCCATATGTTCAGGTTCTTTACAGTCAACACCCCACTCCTGGTAACAATTACTGTTACAGTCCATCATGGCAGGGAGGCATGGTGTCTGGAGGTGTCTGGAGCAGAAGCAGTAGAAGTGAAGCTTTCACATCATCACCAGGCACAGGAAACAAGAGAACAACTGGAGATCTGGCAAGGCTTAAGAACTCTCTAAGCCCACCCCTAGTGATGTGCTTCCTCCAGGACAACCACACCTTCTAAAACCTCCCAAAACAGCACCATCATCTGGGGACAAAATGTCCAAATACTTGGAGCCTATGGGGGACATTGTCATTCAAACCACCACAGATGATAACCAAACAAATGAGAAGGGAAGTTAAATAGCTCAGGTGGAGTGGATATTTTGTAAATATTATGGCAATACATGCCAAGATAGGGGTGGCTTACCGTAAAGTCACTTACCTCAACCCATTGTAGAACAACCTCTTATAGTCAACATTTATTATACTAATATTTTCTTTTTTAAGGCGGTCAATGGAGAGTAAACGACCCACATGTTGAAACCCAGGAGCCATGAACCTGACATAGTTCCTTTCTTGAGTTGGCAACCAAAAAATCTGTAAGGATAAACAGAGACCTTCAGTGGATAGTTGGCTGTCCAGGTACAAACAGCCCCATGAAGAATGGGTGAAGCTCTATCCCTGCATTGATAGTAGTCTATAGGAAGCAAAGAAAGCTCCTAGTCTTGGTGAAGCAGTCACCTGGCTTAATATTATTTAATGACTCTTAAAAATGGAGAAGGTCAGCTGGGCGTGGTGGTGCACACCTTTAATCCCAGCACTCAGGAGGCAGAGGCAGGCAGATCTCTGTGAGTTCAAGGCCAGCCTGGTCTACACAGTGAGTTCCAGGACGGCTGGGGCTACAGGGAGACCTTGTCTAAAAAAGACAAAAAAAAAAAAAAAAAATGGAGAAGGTCATTGTGGAATTGAGTTTTTCTAGAACCATCCTATCCTCCAGTTAACATTAAGGGTCAAGGGCCCACTGTAAAGAAAGTTTCATATAGAAAAAATGGATGAGGGTTAGGGAATGTAGCTCAATGGTAGAGCACTTTCCTCAAATGTGCAAGACCATGGATTAGATTCCTAGTAAAGAAAAAAATACTGGTAGATGTGAATATTTTAAAAAACTTTCTCTGGTTGTTGGTGCTAAAAGCCATCCCTGAGAGTAGTTACTCACCTATTTCTACTGACAGAGATGATGTTGACTCATCTGTGGAAAGAGTCCATTTGTAAGAAAGTATGTATTTGATTCACTTAGAGCACTCTTAAGTGATTTGGAAGCAATGAAAACCTAAAAACAGACAGTTGCTTCTGGAAAAAAAAATGATGAGCAAGTCTGCTCAAATAAAAAACAATTATCTTTCTTTTTATATATCTATGTTGATGATGGTACAGGTCACATCACAGTTACTAAAGACAATGTTTTTTGTATGGTTCTAGGGATTGAAAATGGAGTCTCAAAGCATGCTAGGCAAGTACTCTACCTCTGAGTTCATTCCCAGCTCTCTCTCTCTTTTTTTTAGCCTTTATAAAAATTTTTGAGGCAAGGTCTGCTAAGTTGCATAGGTTGGCCTTGAACTCATTCTATCATCTAGGTATGTTTTGAACTTGAAATCCTTCTGCCTCAGTCTCCTAAGTGGCTGTTACTACAGATCTGCACCACCAGGCCTGGCTTATATACATTATTCCTTTTTTTCTGCATGTGTATCTGTGAGTGGTATGCATGCATGAAGGTTTGCATGTGCATGAACAGATGTGTGTGTGCATGTGCACATACATATGCATGCCTGTGATGGTTTGAAGTTGACACTGGACAGCTTCCTCCACTCTTCACCACTTTGTTTTTTGAGAAGATCTCTCACTGAGCCTGGAGCTTTCCAATTTCTTCTGGTCTAGCTAAAGATTCAGGGTCTAGCCAGTTTGCCCTGGGATCCCCTGTCTCTGCCTCCTGAATGCTGGGATTATAGGCAGCTACCATGTCTGTTGGCTTTTACATAGGTTTGGGGGATCCAAATTCCCATCCTCAGGCTTGTGCAAGCACTTTGTCCACTAAGCCATCTCCCCAACTCCTACATTATTCTTTGACAGGGTGCTGTTACTTCACTTGGTTTGGAATAGTCAAAACAGTCTCTGGTTTTTTTCCCATTGGGATAATTTTAACTGGATCATTCTCAGATTACCATGTGTAGCTGTATCAGCAATAATCTCCATTTCCAAAGGAATCAAAATTACTTACAGATTCCAGAGAAGACCTACAAGATAGGTCAAAGTCAACTACTATGTTCCTGGGACAGGTCACCCATCTCCCAACCTCTATAATAAATACTAACATAGACATACCAGATGTTGCTCAATTTTAGAGTCAAGGATGACTCTTACTACTCTTTGGACAAATGAGTGTCTGAGAGGATGTTTTGGTGGAGGGCCAAAAAGATCAAATATCACAAACTTCTGTTTCTTTTTCGCAAGTTTCAATAATTCAGCCAGCTGTGGAATCTTCTGGTTGCCTGCTTTCCTTTTATCAGCCTCTGATAGTGGTTCCATGTTAAGAAATGGTTTATGCTAAAAATAAATGTATCACAGAAAACACTGGTTTTGGTCAAAATCATTTTCTAGATTTCCTGCTCTGTAGCCCCATACCTGGCTCCACCTCCATTAGCATACCACTCCATTACCATTCAGCCCCTGAGGCCCTTTGAAATACTAATTCTGAGATAGGAATTGCAGAGAAGAGAAATACAGTTCCCTCTCCATTGGTAATTGTAGTGTCTGGAATGATTTCTTTTATGTTCTAGAACTTCTCATACTTGTACCAAAGGTTCTCCATGGTCTTGACTTTCTAGCTTTTTGTTTAGTCACTCAAGGGAATGATTCCCTTTCTATCACAGTCTCCCTGCCTAGAGTCTTACTGTTCTAGCTTTGTGTAATGAAAAGAAATGTGATTTGGCTTCAGAATTCATTGAATTTAATCACAACTGCACCTTCCCTTACTTTTCCTGCCATAGCAACCTGCTAAATCCTAACTTCTACGTGTTCAAATGTTACCTCTTTCATTAAGCTTTTTCTTAAATATTCCTGAACTAAAAGAGATTTTGATGGTGGGAAGCTCTGATGGCCCCCTTCTCTGCTTCTATAACTGTCTCATCCTGCATTTGGTGGTTATTCACACATTTCCCTGGCTCAGTGTGCTTCATGCTGACAACCTTGGTTACTTTCTCAGTGCTGTGACAAAATAAGCAACTTGAGGGAGGAACGGCTTATTTTGGCTCACAGTTTGAAGGTACATCATAGTAGGGAAGTCAGAACCAAAATGTACTTTGGAGATATCTTTGTGCTTTCTTTCACTATAAACTTTGATGAAAGAGTAAAGAGAAGCTGTGCCATAACTTGAATGTTATCATGTGTTGAACTGCTTTCCTATCTTGAAAGCAATAGTCCATTACCTTTAAATTCAACCTCACTCAAGTTCTCAGGACACTGGAAGAATGCAGCCAGAATTTCTTTGCCAGAATACCACATGAATGGCCTCTAGCCCAGTTCCTGATACAGTTTTTGTTCCTCTCTGAAACCTCATGAGCTGGACCTCCACTGTCTGCATTTGGCATTCTTATCCTCTAATATCCCACCAGAATGGCCCATTAAGCTTTGATTGCAGCATTCAAGGGATTTTCTAGACCAAAGTTCCAAAGTCTTCCACAATCCTCTCACAAACCAGTTCCGAAGGTCCAAGAACCATGTGGTCACAGCAATAGCCCTTACTTCTTGGTGTCAATTTTCTATATTAGTTACTTTTCTCATTGTTATAACAAAGTATCTAGTAACAAGCAACTTAATGGGGAAAGCATTAATTTTGGCTCACAGTTTGAGGGTACAATCCATCATGGCAGGGAAATCCTGGTGGCAGCAGCTTGAGACAGCTGGTTACATTGTATCAGCAGTCAGGAAGCAGAGAGTGATGAACACTAGTGCTCAGCTTGCTTTCTCCTTTTTATTCAGTCCAGGAGTGAAGCCCATGGAATGGTGCTGCCCACAGTTAAGGCTATTCTTTCCAATTCTACCTAATCCAGACAATCTCTTACAGACATGTCCAGCAGCTAACCTAATCTATATAATCCCTCAGGGATGTATCAGGATACTTGACTCCTAGGTGAGTCTAAATCTCGTCAAGTGGAAAATCAATATTAACCATCATGTAATTTTAGTCTTAATTGCCCAAACTGTAAAACAGGGGAGTGATGTAATAATCTATGTATTTCTTAGGATTTAAAAAAATATTTTATTATTTTTACTTTATGATATGCGTAAGTGCACCTATACAAGCAATGCCCACAGATGCCAAAAGAGGGTGTCAGATCCCCTGAAATTGGAGTTATAGATGATTGTTAGCCTCCATGAGGGTGCTGGGAACTGAACCTGGGTCCTCTGAAAGAGTAGCCAGTGCTCTTAACCACTGAGCCATCTCTCTAGGCCAAGGATTAAAAAAAAAAAAAACAGGGTCTTGCTATATAGTCTAGACAGGCTTCAAATCTGTGACCCTCTTTCTTCCATCACCTGATGCTAGGACTACAGCATATACTGCCACACTCAGTCATTAATTTTGAATTGCCACTGTAACAAATTACTACAAATTTAATAGCTTAAAATAACACCAATAATTTTTTCTGTTATTTCTTGTTTTGTAGATGAGAAGTTTATAGGGTCTCACTTGACCTAAGTCAAGGTGTCAACCAGTTTCCATACCATTCTGGAGTCTCTAGGGAGAAGTATTCAAGCTCAGGCACACTGCTGGCAGAAAGCAGCTCCTCTTGGCTGGGGAACCCCTCTCAGCCAAGATGTTCTCCCACTTCTAGTGGCTGTCTTCAGTCCTCAGTTCAAAGGCTCTTTCTCTATCTTCAAAGCCTGCAATGGATGGCTGAGTCCCTGCCATGCTTCAGATCTCTCTTATCTTTTCCTTACTCTTATCCTTCTGGCCACAACTAAAGAACATCTTCTTTTAAGGACTTCTTTGGTTAACTGGGGCCCATTGAGACATCAAGGATAATCTCTTCACTTAATGGTCCATAACTTCAGTTACATATGCAAAGAGCACAGTAATGTGTTTATAAGTTAGGGTATGCACCTTTGGGAAGGTCATCATTCTGCCTACCACACATCATGAAAAGGGTAAAATTCTCTGAGCAGACATAATAATCTTAAATGCATATGCTCTTAACAATTGCTTCAAAATGTATGAGGGAAAACCTGATATATCTGAAAAGCAAAATACACAAAGCAACAATTGTAATTGAAGACTTCATCATGCTCCATGCAGTGACTGACAGAATAGGTAAAAAAATCTATAAGAATGAGACAAGTCAAATATTATTACTCAAGTGAATCTAATGATATTTATAGAACATTCTACCCAATAATGGCAGAATGCATGTTCTTTTTTTCTTGTGTTCTAGTGTCAAGGACTGAATCCAGGATCTTGTACATGGTAGGACATGATAGGACATCACTAGTACTGAGAAACACACCCATCCCTTTTCATTATTTTTTTTTCTTTAAGACAGGGTCTTGTTGTACAGCCCAGGCAGGCCTTGCCTTCTCTAGTCTCTTGCCCCAGCTCCTGAGTACTGGGGTTATAGGCATGTGGCACCATACACAGATAAGATGCACATGCTTCTCACACATACTTTGAATATTCATCAAGAGATGCCATATTCTGGGGCCATAAAACAAATAAAAAGAATAGAAGTAATATACTCAGTCACTAACAGAATTAAACTACAAATCAGTAATAAGAAAATATATGAAAATCTGCAAATATTTACAAATTGAGGAAAATGCTCCTAAGTAATAGATATGTTAAGAAGGCACAAGTGAAACTTAAAAATATTTCAACCCAAATAAAAATTAAAATACAGCATATCAAAATTGAAGCAGTGCAGTTAGGCAAACATACAATAACTGCTGATACTATTAAGAAAAATTGAAAAAACAGTCACTTCAGCTTCTTCCTTAGCAAGGTAGAAACAGAGGAGAAAAATCAAACCCAGCACAAAAAGAAAATAAATGTTTAAGCAGAAAACAATGAAACAAAAAGTAGACAATCATGAAACTAATTACTGATTCTTTGATAAAATCATAACAATTACTAAATTTTTACCTGGAGAGAAATCACAAATTACTAAAATTAAGATCATATAGTCATTAAAAGGATAATCAAGAAGTATCATAAATAGTTCTGTGTCTAGAAATTTGGCTCCTAGATGGTATGGATCAATCCCTCTCAAGATAGAGTCAATAGTCACTGCAGAAGGGTAAATGCCCTGCATTGAGTCATGAAACAGATTTCTTAAGTGGAAAACATTCCAACAGGGCCAATGGATATGGCTCAGTGGATAAGAATGCTTACTGTACAAGCATGAGGACCCAAATGCAGATTTCCCAGCACCTTTGTAAAAGCTGGTCATGGATGCATGCTCCTGTGACTGCAGTACCATGGAGGGTGAAGGATCGCTGGGGCTCCCAACCTAGCTGAAACACACACACACACACAACACACATACACACACACACACACACACACACAAACTTCTAACAAAACTCCAGTAAGGTTTACTGTTCAATTCTACCAATGCATATAAAAAATACCAGTTCTATATAATTTCTTACAGAAAACAAAGGAAGACAATATTTTCCTCTAATTTTATGAACAGCATTCCTCTTACCAATTCCAGATAACATTATCATAAAGAAAACTGGACAACAATATCCTTCATGAACTCATGTGGATTTTAATTTCAGATACTGTTGTTTTTCAGACTTCATTATGGTAACAGCAATAAGAACAAAAAATAAGAAATTGTCCATTCCCAGTTAACATTATGCATACAAAATAATAATAATATCTGTGTTTTAGAGCTTGGAATGTTTTAAAGTCTTAAAGGATGGGTAGCAAATATGAAGAGATATGCTAAATGGCCTCATTGTCCAAATTATAGTCTTACCTTCAAGGGAAATAGATTAAGACATTTTAAAAATATTTTATTTACTATTTTTATTTTATGTGTATGAGTGTATTATTGCCTGAATGTGTGTAAGTACACCCATATCATGCAATGCCTGCGGAGGTCAGAAAAGGGCATCAGATCCCCTGGAACTGGAGTTACAGACTGTTATTAGCCATCATGTGGATGATGGGAATGAACCCAGGTATTCTGCAAGAGCAGACAGTGCTCTTAACTGCTGAGCTATCTCTCCAGCTCCAGATTAAAACACTTTAAAATTATATATTCTACTAGGCTGGGCGTGGTGGTACACACCTTTAATCCCAGCACTCAGGAGGCAGACACAGGTGGAGCACGGTGAGTTCGAGGTCAGCCTGGTCTACTTAGCGAGTTTCAGGTTAGCTGGGGCTATAAGGAGACTGTGTCTCAAAAAGACCAAAAAAAAAATTATATGTTCTACTTTATAAATGGAACACTTTCTTCTTTCAGATACTGTTGTCAACAAATTGCCTATAAATTGGCCAAAGTAATTCAATTTGTTGCCATCGAGTGGTTTGCTGCTTTATT